TCGGTCAAGCATCGTAAACCGAATTGTCCCAAACATATAATAGAGATTATTAAAATAATGTTTTAAAACGGTTCGATCCGGGTACCATTTTTTCAAATTTTAAGACCCGTTCGGTTACTAAGTTTTCAAGACCCGCCCCGCCCCGAACCGTTTGGGCTTTCCAAAATTAGGACCCGACCCTAACCCGCCCTGAACATGTATTATCCGGCCCGACCCGCGATACCCGTTTGCCCACCCTAGTTCATACCACCATAGCACTAATCCTCCCCTGGTTGCGAAGGTCTGCACATACACTACGTACGTATCATAGATGCTCTTATCAATTCCAATTTCCATCAAAGTATAAATCTGCTATTTATATCTCCCTAGGGCGGTGCTTTTTTGAGTTTGATTGTCTATTTAGCTTGAAATTGAGGTATGGTGGAGCTAGGGTTTAAAATTTTTCAATCCCTAACTTGGCCTATTTTTTAAGAATCCAAATTAAGGGGTTTTGTGTCATATTTGGATATTTTAGATCATTCTTTGTAGGAGAGTATGCTTAATGAGGTCATCAAGTAAATTTACTAGTGGTACACTATAAATTTACTTAAGAGATGTCGTATTGCATTAATTAGAAATGATCTTTGTCTTTCCAACATACATGTATGAATGTATGATTCTGGACTACACATTTGAATTTAGTTTGTTCCAGATTTTTGCTTGGTGTATTTTCTTTGAGCATAGGTGATTTATTCTATACCATGCAGCTATATCATTATTCTATACTTGCATAGGTGATTTCTTAAAGCACACATCACAAGAATCGGGCAGAGTGGACTCGAGTGAAATTTACTTCGAAGGTCCTTTTCTTATAGCCGATGTAAGATTCAAACTTTTCCTTATGGCTCACCATTCCCTATCAAATTTCATGCCTACCCCTATGTCAGAGGATCTGCTTCCTTAGACTTTAAGTATTTTACTCCGTAATTTTTTAAGACGTCAATAAAATTCTACTGGACCCTAAGAACTTAAAAGTTAAAGACACAAACATGATTCATAAATTTGATAAAATTACTTAATGATGCTCATCGGTTCGGTTCCGTCGATTTCGGTTTTAGGAAATGTAAAACTGAGAACGGAACCACACAACTTGAGTTGGTTTCGGATAAATTCGGTCGGTTATAGCACGTTTCGGCCGGTTTGTTAACCCAAAATCATAAACCTTAAACCAAAATGCTGTTGGGTTGGTCGGTTTTGATTTCATTTGATTCGGTTGTGGTCGGTTTCGGTTGTTTGGTTTTTTTTGTTCACCCCTAAAAATTAGTGCATGACCCTATATTTCATCAGGAACTCAAAGAAAAAGATGGGCTTTATTGTTGAAGTATGCCAGCATCTCTTTGACAACCTCAAATGCTTTCCTTTCTTATTTTGAGCTCCTTATTCTGAATCTCTTCATCGACCTAGAGTTATCTTTTAAGTAGTTTAGCATTTTTTATTTGTCTGATTGTTGTGATTATTTAGAGTAGGATAATGGCTATTGAGCAGACTAAACCAAAGTTTAGTATCTCTATGTTTCACTTTGTCTAAAATAAATAAGATGAGGAACTATCTAATCCTGGTATTTTTTTAGTGCGTGTGTATAAAAGCATACTCCATGTTTCCCATTATGACACTTTGGCCCCTATAATGTTTCAAGATCTAGCTAGAGTACTGGATCTTTGGTTTGAAATCCTTAAACCTGACCTAAATATGTTTTGTATTGATTTGAAACAGTCTGAACTTCCAATATTGAGACATCAACCTCTTTCTTTCATTCTTATAATTTTTGAAATAGTGAATTATCCCATATAAATAGGCTAATGAGAGATCCATTGTGCCTTGCATATTTTTTGGCTGTTTCTGAAATATACTATCGCTCACATTGACTATAATCAGTTTTTATTATTCTCTGTTTTCAGTGTTCCGGCTATTACACAAACTAGAGAAAGAGACGACACATGAAAAAATGAAACTTTTCGACGCACATTGTCATCTCCAAGATCCAAAGATCCTTCACATGCTTCCACAAATAATTAGGAGCGCCCTTGACAGAGGAGTGGTTCATTTTGCAGTTAATGGTGTGTCGGAGAAGGATTGGCAAACCGTCAAGAAGATGAGCATAGAATACCCCAGTGTGGTTCCAAATTTTGGGCTCCACCCTTGGTTCATCACCGATAGGAGTCCTCATTGGCTAGGTACACTAAAGGATCACTTAGAGGGGACACCCGAAGCTGCAGTTGGTGAGATTGGTTTGGACAAAGGATCGTTCGGTAAGAAAATTGATTTTTCCGATCAGGTCGAAGTCTTCCGCCAGCAACTCCATCTTGCAAAAGACCTCAAAAGACCTGTTTCCATACATTGTGTTCGTGCTTATGGGGATCTTCTCGATATCCTTAAATCTGTAGGTCCCTTCCCTTGTGGAATCGTTCTTCATTCTTTCCTCGGTTCTGCCGAAATGGTCCCTGAATTTGCAAAGCTATGTGCCTACTTTTCGTTCTCTGGGTTTTTGATGTCATTGAAAGAGAACAAGGCAAAGAAGATGATAAGATCAGTTCCTATGGATAGGATTTTGTTGGAGACCGATGCACCCGATGGGTATCCCAAAATGGGCAATCCAGAAGATGCTTTGGTTTTAGTAGGAGAAGGCAAAGAAAGGCTAAACCACCCGGGTAATATTAGTGTCATACTTGACTATGTGGCGGCTTTGCTTGATATGAGTAGTGATCAACTTGCAGAAGCAAGCTTTTCAAATGCACTAAAGCTGTTTTCATTTGAAGGTTCAAAACTGATGCAGTAAGGTTGTACTTCTGATTTAGTTAATCTTCAATTTGTATACAAACTATTTGTAACACTCTAGGTTCTTTGTGTTGAATAAAAAAAATGCTAGTTTGAAATGATGATCATATATACAGTGTGGATGACATGATGAGTGCAGAGAATACAAGGAAAAGAAATCATGATGTGTGGTGCTGTGACCATGTTGAACTTAATATTAAAATAGATTCTCACTCAATTAAAGAGTTACAGTTTACTAGACACATATTGGATATTTGGACTAAAGGAGAGTTGCACCTCTATTTTTTTTATTAAGGAAAATAGAAAAAGGAGTACAAGTGAAATAAAAAAATAAGAAAAACCAAAGAGAAAAAAAGGAAAGCAACAATAAGAAAAAGAACCGCCCAACCCCAAGTACATTCTTGCACCTCTATTTAAAATTGGTCAAGTGGGTTATATGATTAAAGTAACTAGAATTTTCACCCGTGCGTTGCACGGGATGAATTTTTCTAATAATTGCATTAGCAATATATAAATATGTCAAAGATGTATTGGCCGTCAAACCATCTATTTACTTTGATAAGCTTGTGTCGAGATGGACTCTATGTTTTTTTTTTAAAGGATGATGGATTCTATGTTCTTAATATTACAATTTTCATATTATTCATTTAGAAAAGTGAGTCACGACTTTCAAATTGTCCATTGTTAAAAAGTACATATTGTCAAGTACATAATGCGTGTTTTAAATTTTTATATTTTTATATACTAATAAACGACTTATTCAGATCAAATTTTTTTAGCCCGAGTATGTACGCTTATATAATTTTTTTTTCTTTTAGATAACTTATGTTATATTTTGGTGTATATTGAAAGGGTGATAAAGTCTTAAAATGTACTAATGACTATTAATTTTGAGTAATGTAGTATATATTACTTGGTACTATATCATATTTGTGTAGTCTTACAACTTAATTAATTAATATGCAGTACTCCGTATGGTTTAAATCTAAACTCTTATGCTCCAACTATAAATTAAAACTAAAATTCAACCTAAAATAAAGAAGATGAATGCTGAATTTTTATATTGTATTCAACAGTTTGATGATATTTTTTTAATATTTTGACATGAATTAAATAAATATTTTATCTGTCTGATATATTGTCATTTTATTATATTTTTTGTAGATTATATTTTATTATATTTGCAAACTTAAAGACAAAAATAACGACCTCTTGGATCTTTCCCTGAATTTAATTTACTCCTTCTATTATTATCAGGTGAACCGATCGATATAATGATATCTACTAATTGCAAGATTTGTTCAAATTTTTAGCATTACTTTGACATTGTACCGTACTATTTTGTACCATTCGAAATGACATGATACCAAAGGGTTCCATTTTTAGAACCAGACCATACCGAACCGATAAAAACCCCACGGGTACATTACGACTTTCGCTAATTTACCGGATTGTCCAGACAGCGCCCACCCTACTTTCTTTATCTACTGATATTAAATGTGATATCATCTCGATTTATGCTAGCCAACACTAAGGATGTTTTTATTTGGACTGAAATTTGCAGATCTGATCTGTTTGAATCTAGTCTAGTTCTGATCTGAATTGATCTAGTAAATGTCTAATCTCTACATATATATTTTATAACTATGGAAGTATAGTATGATCTTGTATGTTTAAGTCTGATCTGATCTGTTTAAGACTGGCACGGTCTAAAAAAAGTCCAAATAAAAACATCTCAACTCTTGATTGGAGGACAAAATTTCTTTGCACCATAGATTGATATGCCGCTAATTTGTTAGTTGAGACAAATGGGAGCTTGCATTGTGTTGTAGTCATGAAAATAAAACATATCACAGAAATATACTCCTTCTGTCCCACAAAATTCTTCCCAGTTTGACTTGGCACACATATTAAGGAAGTAGAATAAAGTTGAAATGTGTGGTTGTAGTTGTTTAAGAAAAAGGTGAAATGAATGTAAACCACACAAATTGTCCAAAAATGGTAAGTGGGAAGAATTTTTTCGGATGGTCCAAAAAGGAAAGTGAGAAGAATTTTATGGGACGGATGAGTAAAACATAATAACAAAAAGCATCCCCTAGATTTCTTTGAAAGTTTACCCTTAAGGGTGAATTACTTCACCACAATCTTAACAGAGAAATCAAAATAAATGTACATCTGAAAGACTGCTTAGACATACATACAAACATAGATTAAGCTTAGTATACAAACATACTAAACGCCATAAGCCCATAAGTTTTAATTATATATTTATATGTCACAAAAGATGCAAAACGTTACAAAAACTCTAAACTCCAGGATGAAAATCTTTTAACTTTCTGCCATTGTGACTCTGATGCATCAAAATGTATCCCTTCTTGTATCTTGTTAGGCCGTCAAAAAAACAAACTTGTTAGGCCGTCAAATGCAAATCAGGGAACACACAACCACATACTTGAGAAGCTGAGAAGTATAAAAAACATCTAACGTAGTGGTTGAATGTCTAACCTGTAGCTCAGATTAATCAAATAAAGGACAGCAATTCCAGGTTGAGAAATTACGGCCCCACTTTTGACATATCTAAAATCATGATGAATTGAATCTAACTCAAAAAACTCAGAATCATTTAATAATTGACCACTACAAATATTTACGTTTATTGTAAAAGATTCATAATAACCGTACTATTACATAATGCTAAAATCAACAATAAAAACCCGTTTTTCATACACACTGGAGAAGATCAATATGAAACAATTTGTTATACTCTTTTATAGAAATTTGAGACATCAATCCAGAGGAACATAAGGAAATATACCTAACTTCTGACACTTTTTATTCTTCCTCAGCTCTGCTGGGCAATCACATGCTCCAGGCTAAGCTTTGATAAATCTGAAACATAAAACAATGATAAATCATAAATACCAATGAAGACTGATACATTTGAAAAGCTTCCTACATAATTGCACTACTTCTGATGTTCTCAATTTCCAGCTCAGTTTTAGACACATTACTGAGATATGGTATAAAAGGCATATACATCAAAATCTCCAATTATCTTCAAAAAAAATCCCCAATTTACAATGCACTTGCAAATCTTTAGCAAATACTAAAATCACTTGGTATTAACAGTTAATATTTCACAAATACAATAATCACACAATGATCTTGTGGATTGTGGTAAACAGACTTAAACTCAATAAAAAGAATCATGTACATTTTAAGTTCAAATTTGAAACCAACTCAAAACTGCCACACTTTAAAGATAGATTGAGAAGGTAAATTCAAGTAAAATACCATAACGAATAGGTTAGAATCGTGATTGTACACAAAGTTGTCTACATAATGGAACAAACTGGCTAAACAATCATGAAACAATAAAACATAGTGTTTCCCTTTCTCAGACATAAAAAGTACTTTTAATATGTTCTTAATGCAAATACTAATAATAGACAACTTTGTGTTGTCTAATTAAAATGTTCCATTTAATAATTTCATTCAAATCCTGTGGACTGTTCTTTTTTCACTTTTACAATAAACATATTAAGAAAGACATAGTGTTGGCTTAGTTGTTGATATTTATAGGTTTGGATCTATTAGTTTGCTCTTGCTAAGAAGGCACCTTCAGATTTGTTAGAGACGAACACCTGGACTACTGTTAGTATATTTGAAGCCTTTCTACCGCATATACTAACTTGTTATATTTGTCAATATGACCAAAATACATCTTTTTATCATGTGATGGCTCGATGTATGATTAACTTCACTTATATAGCAGTTTGGTGTATTTGAAGGGTGCAATTTTGAGGTCTATCTCCCGAAGTCTCAGTGGACCTACTAAAAAAATCATCTACTTCCTTTACGCTATTCTAATTTGTGTTCCTTCCATTATATATGGTTACTATGTTCGGGAGAAAAAACAAAGAAAATAATGATTGAATCATGAATTTTAAGAAACTATAAATCATCCAAAACGCTACTTCAGTGTTTAGACAAAAAAATGAAGAAGACAGGTTTGATAGAAAACACATATCCTAGATTAGCCACATATCCGGGAGGAAAAACAATGAAAATAATGTTTGTTTTACACATATTGAGTATATTTAAAATTCGTTTGGTTTGCATTTTGTAGATCATTTTTCATATGCGACTATAAAACTCTTCCAGAATTATTGATTGTTTACTTTCATTAGGTTTGTTTGATTGTTTTCTGTATTGATTTGGAATCCCAACTTTCTTATTATGCTTCTTTTCTTTACAAATACATGTTTGTTTGTTTTTCAATGCAATGCTCCCTTTAGAATATATATGTTCCATCTAGGTTTTTACTGCCCTGAGTATTTTAAATATTTTTTGCATAACAATGACTATTTGGTTTATAATTATCCCCAAGTCTCACTGGACCTACTAAAACAATTCCCCTACTCCTTTTACGCTATTCTAATGATTGAATCATGAATTTTCAGAAACTATAAGTCATCCAAAAGATAATATGATAACCAAGTACAAAAAATAAGATTGTGTACCAAGAGAGAGCATCTTGATTACTCGCTGACCGAAAAGAGAAAGAAGCGAGGAAGAAATTGTTCAGTCTTCATTCGATGGTGTGAAAGCAGTGGCACCGACGTCTCTTCTCCTCACAACAAACTAAAACAGGGTATATGGTAAACGATTAGCTGATTCGAAATGAGAAGAAGAGCTGCAAGAAACCAAATATGGAATGAAGTATAACATAGTTTCCTGACCTGAACTAAAAACCCCTAATTTGCAATCAAATGAGGAAGAATGAACATGGAAAGAATAATGAGAAATTGGAATCCGCAAGAGGTATATAGCAGGAAGTGATATTATCGAAGGAGTCAAGGAGACATCTCCGAGCGTTTGACCTCCCATGGTTGAGCCGTTGAAGTTGATTTCCGATAGAAATGGCAGACAGTTCAGATACATCGCGGATGAGCCGTGGATTTTAGGTAATTGATCGTGCGGCTGAAATGGTTGCTGCACTTGAGCGGGAAAATGCTCTGCCCAAAGTAGTGCAATTATATATGATGATTTAAAACCATTATTATATACTCAACATTATCCTTAGTATAATATTCATTAATCAGCATTATTCTTAACAGAATGTTTGGAAGCCGTTGATACTTTATATCCTAATCCCAAAAAAATATACATCCAAATTATGAGAAGCTTAAAAAGAAAGGAAGTGAAGACATTAAGGAATTGGTACTATATCAAATGAGAATGTCAAAAAAATGAAATGATTATTTTCGATAGATGTTTTGTTTATAAATGCGCAAGGAATTTTTTTTCTTAGATGAACATTTTAATATATTTCGTTGGTGGAGTTTTTTCCAACAATAATGTAAAATAAAAAAATATTTCCCAAAATAGGATTTGGTTAAAAATATTTCCCAAAATACGGCTACCTTAAACTCTAGTTAAAAGAACCGGCGGCTTATATGAGAAAACGAGTTAAGCACGCTGAAGGTAGTGAGTGACGTACGTAGCAATATGACATAGACCCCACAAAAATAAAAATCCCATTTTTAATTTAAAGTGATATAACTTTTTTATTTGTACTCTAATCATTACAAAAAATACATCAAAATTCATAACTTTTTATTATCTTTCGTATGACACCAATATCGAATATATAAAAATAAAAAAAAATAATTTAACATTTTAATTTTTTTTTTGTAAATGTTATATCTTTTTTATACACCGATTGTTAGAAAAAATATATTAAAACTCATAACTCTTTGTTATCTTTCATGAGACACTAATTTTGAATATTTAAAAATTAAAAATCAATTTTGTTAATTTGTGCAGTTTGAAATCGTTTTTTACAATACACACATTTTATTTAGAGTGATAGTTTATAATAAAACTATATAAACTCCATCACTTTTATTATCGTTTTATTCCTTGTTTAGTTTTAGGATGTTTTCTTTTGGACTGTTTTCAGTCCCATATCGGATTAGACTAGACCAGTTCAGACCAGACCAAATTTAAACTGACCAGACCAGACCAAACCATAGTTAAACAGAACAGACCAGATCGAACTTGAACAATTAGAAAAACACAGAGGCGAGCTAGATATTTACCAAATCGAACTTAAACAGATCAGACCAGACCAACAAATTATAGTCCAAAAGAAATCATCCTTATTCTAATCTATCACTACTCATTATTTGTGTGCATGGTAAAATTTATCCTAAACTGCATAAATATTTAAATTTGTATATTCAAAATTGGTGTCATATGAAATATAATAAATATTTGTGAATTTTGATATATTTAGTACACATAAAAAAGATGTAAAATTTAAAAAAAAGGGGTTTTTTCATAAAAATGTAATTATTTCTTAGAAAAATGTTATTATATTAAAAGCGGTTTTAATATAATTACATTTACAGAAAAATGTAATTATAAATAAATGTAATTATTTATATGTAGTATTTTTTAAAGTGTTAATTTTTTTTAAAATTTTTTATATTCCATATTGGTGTAATATGAAAGATAATAAAAAGTTATGAATTTTGGTGTATTTTTTGTAATTATCTGAGTAAAAATAAAGAAGTTATATAACTTTTAAATAAAAATGGGATTTTTATTTTTGTGGGCCCTATCTGATGTTAGTACATACGTTAGTTGCTTTGGCTTGCGTCTACATGCGGTACCTCTTTTCATATAAGCCGCCAATTGAAGTGGCGATTCTTTTAACTGGAGTTTAGGGGAAATTTAGGGGAGCACTATTTTGGAAAATATTTTTAATCAAACCTTATTTTGGGAAAAAAATATTATTTCACATTATTGTTGGAAAAAACTCTCGTTGGTGAACAGTTTTATTATAACATAACTTTAATAATGAATTGTTATGCTTTACATACTTACATTACATTCGTACGGCCAGTACGAATGTAAAAACATGATCTACATTGAAGAGGACCCAAATTGTTATAAAACCGATCTACATAGAAACATGAAAAATAAAAGTATTGTTGGGGTATAAAATTAAAAAAATGTTGCTTGACCAAGAGTTTCATTGGGACGAAAAATATATTACTACGTCCAAGCTGTATCGTTTTAGACTGGCCTAATTTGGTATCATTCGATCTCAAAATTTAAAACCGTTTTCCTATATGTTTCAAATGGTATTATTTCAGTTTAAGATAAACTAAATTTCCTAAATACTTATTATTGATTCGATATCATTACAAATGTGGTCGGTATTGGTTCAGTTTGATTTTTATGTCCATTCTACCGTTCGGGGCGGACATTATTACCATTATTAAATAAAGAATCACTAAATTGTATTTTCACATTATTTTGGACACTTTCTTTACTCTCGCTATGCTCCTATCACAATTGGAGAACAAAAACCGCATATGTATAGGAAAAAAAAGGATGACACCTCATCCCTGAGGGCTCCCCAACACCGACCGGATGGCACGATGGGAGGATGTAAATTGGACTATAATCACAATCTGACAGATAGAGAGTGGAGCCCCGTCCCCGGTACTTGCAGAGGCCCTATGCATTTTTAGCATAGTAACCTCTCATCGCAGTTGCCAGGATTCGAACTCGGGACCTAACCCTTGTGACACTTCCTCGCTACCAGTTGAGCTACGCCCACAGGTCCGCATATGTATATGAGAGATGCCCCAAAGAGCATATTCCGCACCTCTTTTGATGCCTATTGTATGACTTTTCAAATAGATGTTCAAGTTCCCCTTGCGCCAAAAATTGTGCCCCAAATCTTATATTCCATTCAAGTCTGAAAAAGTTTTTTACTCTGCATGTGTATTGTGTCTTCTCTAAGAAAAATCACCACTTGTTGTCCAATACTTCTACATACCGAACTGTTCACTTATTTACTCGTCCAGCCAAATTGAACATAAAACGTTTATCTATTCACGTTCGTTTGATTATTGTATTCATATACGTGCTTGTTTAACTTCATTAATCTCGTTAATGAATAATAATAATAATAAGGGAAAACTGTCAAATAAGCCCTCATATTATGTCAAAAAGTCAATTAGATCCTTGTACTTTAAAAACGTCCAATTAAACCCTCGAATTTTTAAAAAGACACTCAATTGAGCTAATTAGCAGGTAATCAGCAGGTAATTGAGCGTTTTTTCCAACAATAATGTAAAATAAAAAAATATTTCCCAAAATACTGCTCCCTAAACTCCAGTTAAAAGAACCGCCACTTCAAGTGGCGGCTTATATGAGAAAACGCGTTAAGCACGCTGAAGCCTAAAGGTAGTCAGTGACGCACGTAGCAATATGACATAGGCCCCACAAAAATAAAACTCCCATTTTTAATTTAAAGTGATATAACTTTTTTATTTGTACTCTGATCATTACAAAAAATACATCAAAATTCATGACTTTTTATTATCTTTCATATGACACCAATATCAAATATATAAAAATAAAAAACATAATTTAACATTTTAATTTTTTTGTAAATGTTATATCTTTTTTATACACCGATTTTTAGAAAAAATATATTAAAACTCATAAGTTATCTTTCATGGGACACTAATTTTGAATATTTAAAAATTAAAAATCAATTTTATTAATTTGTGCAGTTTGGAATCATTTTTTACAATACACACATCTTATTTAGAGTGATAGTTTATAATAAAACTATATAAACTCCATCACTTTTATCATTTTATTCCTTGTTTAGTATTAGGATGTTTTCTTTTGGACTATTTTCAGTCCCATACCGGATTAGACTAGACCAGTTCATACCAGACCAAATTTAAACTGACCAGACCAGACCAAGCCAGAGTTAAACAGAACAGACCAGATCGAACTTGAACAATTTGAAAAACACAAAGGCGAGCTAGATATTTACCAAATCGAACTTAAACAGATCAGACCAGACCAACAAATTATAAAACTATAGTCCAAAAGAAATCATCCTTATTCTAATCTATCACTACTCATTATTTGTGAAATTAAATTTATCCTAAACTGCATAAATATTTAAATTTGTATATTCAAAATTGGTGTCATATGAAAGATAATAAATATTTATGAATTTTGATATATTTACTACACATAAAAAAGATGTAACATTTAAAAAAAGGGGGGTTTTCATAAAAATGTAATTATTTCTTAGAAAAATGTAATTATATTAAAAGCGGTTTTAATATAATTACATTTACAAAAAATGTAATTATAAATAAATGTAATTATTTATATGTAGTATTTTTTAAAGTGTTAATTTTTTAAAATTTTTATATATTCCATATTGGTGTCATATGAAAGATAATAAAAATTTATGAATTTTGGTGTATTTTTTGTAATTATTTGGGTAAAAATAAAGAAGTTATATAACTTTTAAATAAAAATGGGATTTTTATTTTTGTGGGCCCTATCTGATGGTAGTACATACGTTAGTTGCTTTGGCTTGCCTCTACATGCGGTACCTATTTTCATATAAGCGGCGACTTGAAGTGACGGTTCTTTTAACTAGAGGGGAGCAATATTTTGGGAAATATTTTAAACCAAACCCTATTTTGGGAAATATTTTTTTATGAAATAATTACATAAATATGATCAAAATAAAGATGGTTTACAAAAATATGATTCATTACTAGAATAGTAATGAAATCATAGTAATTCATGTTCCAATTTTGAACTTTAGTTACCACAGCACTACGTTGTAGTAATGAATAGTCATATTAATGTAAATAAGTTTTATTTTAGTAGTATTCTTGTAATAAACCCTTTTTTTATTTTACATTATTGTTGGAAAAAACTCGGAATTGTTTTCCTTTTTCTTTTCGGATTTCTCTTTCTTTCCCCTGAGCTCCTTCCTTCCACGAGTAACCGAAGTACAATCGTGGGAGGCATTGAGAAGCGAATATAACATATGATTATGGCTTATACATTCCAAAATTTATTAAAAAAAGATAAAAGCATTTATTATGGAAAAAGGATCAAATAGATCCTTGTACTGTTATGAAAACATCATCTAAGCCCATTTACTTAAAAAA